GTGACAAACTTAATATAACCTGTTGAGGGTATACTAATGTGCATTTGCAGAATTTAATGTACTTTAATAATTCGTTATTTAATCTGCAAAACTTTGGATTCCCCTAATTTCTCAGTTGATCTACAGGAAAAGTTCCGAAAAATGTGTCTTGCGGTGAGGAATATTTGGCGGTTTAAAATTATCTCAAGTCCAAAGGCCAAAAAATTTATTACTAACAATGAAATACGGAAGTAGTAAAAATATTTATTTTAGACAAAATGGCGGCTTCCTCAGAAAACAGAAAATCAGTCGCTCAGTGGTTAAAAAAAAAAAAAAAACGAAGTTATTATCAAAAATCTCGTTTCTGATATCAAAATATCTAAGAAGATTGTGGGAAATTTTCAAGTCGAATGTTCTAGCGTTCTGTAAAGAATGAGTTTTTCACGCTCCAGCGCAACACCATCGCCCATTTTGAGACCCAAAATTCATTATTGGATAATATTCGACCGAATAGACCACGTCCAGCACGCAGTGAGGGAAATATAGCAGTCGTAGCTGTGAGTGAACACGAAGACCTGTGGAGAGTCGATTCGGCGCCGTTTGCAATAATTTGGACTGAGGCATTTTATAGTACGTCCAGCGCATATAAAGTACAGCTTCTGCTTTGCAAAGCGACATCGCTTCGCATTCTCGGCTCTTGAAAAGTGCCAAGAAGAGCCGACGTTTTCAAGTCAAATTTTGTTCAGCGATGAAGCCCATTTCTGTCCCAACGGGTAAGAAAACAAGCAAAATTGGCACATTTGGGAAGAAGAGCAAACTGAAGAGGTTTCAAAACTGTCATTTCATCCAGAAAGACAACAAGTTGGAGTGGTTTGTGAGTCGGTAGAATCGTCGGCTTTGATGTAATTTAGCAACCAATGATATTAATTAGGCGTATTTTGGGTAGGATATATTCTCGAAAGCTTTTTTACGAAATTCGTAATTGTTCTATAGTCCAAAATCTCATTCAAATAGATAAATATTTTGTTTATGGCTATATATCAGCTTAAGCTCAGGCTACTTGAAAATAATTCAGTTCAATTTGTACTCTCATCTAGTTTCTAATTCCAGTCACTAATTGATCTCTTGTAGAATTTATTTTCGCCACTAGCACAAAAAACTTTCCTTAATTCCCACACATCCTTTAGAAATTGTATTCACATATTTCCGGTTTTCGCAACACTGTGTCCTTGAGCTCTGTATTTAGTGATGAATATGATGTGTGGCTTGTAATACACCAAATGAGTGTAATGAGCTCCATTTGCTGCACAACTTCGTCAATCATAATCTTCGGTCCTCCATCACCCTCTTAGCCAGCACCCTTTCTTCACTGCAGACCATTCTCGCCCTTGTGGCTTTGCAAGCTTATTTGAGCGTGTGTATATCGCTTTGCTTGTGCTTTGAATTGGTCTGTTTGTTCGACTAATCACCCGTTTAAAATGTGTTTGCTGTTTGCGGCAATTTCGGACAAAATTTTTTGCTCAGCTAGCTTCGGCAGCCCTTTCCGTCTGCTTGCGCTCAATTACGCATTCTCTGCTTGTTGGTGACTAATATTAATTGTAGGCAGTAAACGAGCACAAAAGTTTAGCTTACTGGCTATGCCATTTGCTGTTGCAACACTTTGCATAACGCAATATTGGAAATTGTAAATGTTTTTCGGGTTTTGTGTAATAAGTTGCTCGCTTGCGGTGCGGCAACACATGCTGATTTGCCCATTAGGTGGCAATATATCATGATTGAGGCATAATAAGCGGAAGAAACTGTATAACTGTATATTTTGTGTTGTTTGTTGTTCAGTTAGAAATGTTCTCTCTTGTGTTAACTATAATTTAATATAATTGGAATTCTAGTAATTGAAGTATTTGTTTGCGTGGTAAAATTTTTAAAATTATGAACAGTGTCATACTATTTTTTGCCCGGACTTCGATTATTGTCCGTGTCCTTTATAGTAATAATAATACATTGTTTTTGGTGTGTGGATATCAAATAATTTGATCTGAAAAATAGTTTTTTCGAGATTTTCTTGACGGACACAAGATCAAGGGAATGCAAGATATTTAAAAATTAATCGCCTGTTTTTAAAGTACATTCACTTTGATAAATATTTGTATTTTTTAGTAAATAAAATTGTTTTTCAAAGCATAAATCACTAAAAATAAATTTTTATTAACTTACAAGTGAATATAACCGCTTAAGTCAATGGAAACTTTTCATATCCTGAAGTTTTAAATGAAACTGAATTCCCTAATGAACAACAACAAAGCTTTGGCCAATGAAGTGAACAGCACGCAGCAGCAAAAACTTGTGAAATTTGGCAAAAACACTTTAACCATTGCAGTTTGAGAATTTCATTCAGCAAGATTGACGATACAAATTCGGTTATTATTTTGTTGCGATACTTGTTACTTAATGCTCCGAAACCACCGCTTAACTATTAGAAATATGTCGGAAATTGTTTGAACAATTCACTGTTAATTGCATCTTTGCCTTTACTCTGTTTATGATTTATCGAAAATCTTATATAAAAAAATCTCCCCTCTTTTTCTTCTCTTCTGTGGTATTATAACCGTAGTTTTCAAGACGCGAGAAATCTTTGTTTGAAGCCTCCTGGTTCTTTGTCTTGCTTTTGCCCACCACAAAACTAACCTTTTCTCTCTGTTATTAAAGCTTACGATGTCTATATTGTCTGCGTACCACATTAGCATTATACTTTTAGAGTGGATGTTACTGTGGTTTGCGGAATGTACCACCTAGACACATTAGAGAGAATCACCCTGAACGCAGAACGCAGAATATGGAATTTTAAAAAGTCTGATTCCGTGATTGTTAACACAGGTTTTGCGCCCCATCTTGTGTATAGAGCAGTGTACACTCATACTACAATCAATAGGCATGAATTCATTCGATAAAAGCTGGTCCATGCACCCTTCCAGCTCCCTATAATCGATAACAGCCAGTAATTTATCGGCCCCTGGGGCTCTGTTGTTCTTAAGCTGCCTTGGATATGTGTGATATATAACTTTAGCTATAAGTAGTCCATGTTTTACCCCAAGTTTCGGTGTAACCTCATTTAATAAAATCTTTATAAGTTGGTGCTCTAAACTTTCATGTATAAAAAATGATTATTGCTCATGATACATCTTTTTGCTACCCCATCCGATTGTGTAAAAATTGAGGAAATCTCCACATAACATTAACGGCGATAATTCAACAATAACTGTGTCAGAGACAATTAGTTTTGCGCTCGAGATGATACAAAATGCCTTTGTAGGTGCCGGTACCAAAATTGGACAACATGAACTCCCTCCTTTATATTATATGTACCGCATTTCATTGAAATCGGTTGAGTACTTCCTGAGATATGGTTTTTGGTCCATAAGTGGGCGACGCCACGCCCATTTTCAATTTTTAAAAAAAGTGTGGGTGCAGCTTCTTTCTGCAATTTCTTCCGTAAAATTTAGTGTTTCTGACGTTTTTTGTTAGTCGGTTAACGCACTTTTAGTGATTTTCAACATAACCTTTGTATGGCAGGTGGGCGTGGTTATTATCCGATTTCTTCCATTTTTGAACTGTATATGGAAATATCTGAAGGCAACGACTACGAGTTTGGTTGACATAGCTATAGTAGTTTTCGAGATATGTACAAAAAAGTTAGTATGGGGCGGGGCCACGCCCACTTTTCCAAAAAAATTAAATCCAAATATGCCCCTCATTAATGCGATCCTTTGTGAAACATTTCATTTTAATATCTTTATTTATGGTTTAGTTATGACACTTTATAGGTTTTCGGTTTCCGCCATTTTGTGGGCGTGGCAGTAAGCCGATTTTGCCATCTTCGAACTTAACCTTCTTATGGAACCAGAAAATACGTGTACCAAGTTTCATCATCATATCTCAATTTTTACTCAAGTTATAGCTTGCACGGACGGACGGACAGACAGACATCCGGATTTCAACTCTACTCGTCACCCTGATCACTTTGGTATATATAACCCTATATGTGACTCTTTTAGTTTTAGGACTTACAAACAACCGTTATATGAACAAAATTATAATACTCTCTTTAGCAACTTTGTTGCGAGAGTATAAAAATTACCACAAATATGCTATGTATGTATGCCAAGTATGAAAACCGGACCATATCTGTCCAAGCCCTCAGATATCGAGAATGTGAACTTCAGTACATATGGCTGACATTTTAGCGAAAATAGCGGTTATTATGTGAGACATATTATTGAAATTCAGAGAGAGTATCTTTTCCTTCTAAAACTGTACCCTTTTGTCAAAAATGGGTAGAACCGTGTAATACTTCCTCTAGTCTCTGCATACCTTATAGAAAGTTTTTTGAACTTTCGCTTGACTTGATACCGTATATACCAGATAATATGTAAGTTCTTTAAAATAAATTCGCATTTCTAATATGGCTAAAATTATGACAATGCTATCTCTAACTTCGGTATACCCAATATAAGGAATTCAAAATTGCTGCTTCCTTTTTACCGTATATATCGGCCCAGTTTTAAGACGCGACTTTCAAGGCATTGCTTGCAGTATAGATTAGAACCAACGCATCAGCTTTAATGGTTAGTGAGTTAACCGCGGAGATCAAAGACATTAAAACTCATTGTCTTTCACGTGGCAACGCCTCTCTACTAATCGCTATCTCCCATTTAATTGCGTTAGCATATCTTTTGCACAATTCTAATTCCTCTTAATATTAACTGCCTCTTTGCAATTTGTTTTCATTACAACAAATTGAATTTATTCCTGCCCATTCGCATGGCAATTCAATTGCAGTCAGCACGACTTGATGCTCGAACAAACATACCGCAAACACCGCCTACAAGTGTATACCGTTATGCTGCTTTTGATCTCACCTAACACCTAACACCTTACTCTCTTAACCATCTATCCTTACCATAACACACATTGTTCAGCACTGCGCTCTTGCTTTGTTGCCATTCTTTAATGCTTGTACTTACCGCATCCTCGTTCTCTTCCAGCTTGCTGTAGCTGGCGCAATCTTCGCACACACGCTGCTGACATTCGAAGCAGGTCTTGTGATAGTCGTCGGGTTTGAAGGACTTCAAACATACGCGACACGCCCCCGCTCGTCGTCCCGGCTCGTTTTTCGATGAGTTTCCTGCGGTGCTGCCGCCTGTCGTATTGTTGTTATTGTTATTGTTCTGATTGGCCGCATAAGTGTCCTGGGTCTGTTGCTGGTACGCACCGCCATAGCTGCCGTCTTCGGTGGGCGCCAACGAGGGACGCGGTGACATTTTGTTCACTGCAATGAAACGGGCAGACAAAAAGAGAGGAATGAGCATAACTCATTAATTGCGTGTCAAGAAAGATGCTCTAATTTACGCATGCATTCTTTCTTTCTTGTGTTGAAGTAGTTTCTCTACTTAATATATTAATACTAATATTTATAGTTGAGTCTTGTCAAAGCTGCCACCATTCATAAAGCAGGTCGGCAATTCCTAGTGTATTTTAGATTTCTTTAATACTATGTATAAATATCGTTCAGGGCCTGGTAATATTTTCATTATAAAAAGTAATTCCCTGAAATTTAGCCAAAAGCTTTTTTAGTTTAGTTTTTAGTGTATGAAATTGTAATCAGGCTACTACTGTGGAGAAAAAATCTGTGCCAAATGTCACATCAAAATAATAATTATAATATTAATAATTATAATCACTTCAGTGTTTCGCCTACTAAAATTTTACAGCGATGATTACTTTACGTAGAGCCTACGTGGGAATCCCAAGTGAAATTTAAGACCTTCTAAAAAAAAACCTGAAAATTCCTGAATGCTTGTTAACAGCCCTACTGGGCGTTTTGTTTTTTTTCAAAAGGTCTATATATCGACTAGATTTAGTTCAAGATTTATTTGAGATGTTTTTCACACGAATGCCACCCGCCGGTTAGCTAGTCATCTTCTGGCAAGCCGTTTGAAGCATATTAGATTCAATAGATAAAAGCGCTCAATGAAGAAATATTCCTGGTTTTAAAGCTGCTGATTATTGTCCGTCTGGAAGTTGAGATTTCACATTGATGGACTATGCAATTTGTGGTGAAATTTGGAGAGCAGGGCCGCTCAAATACAATACAGAAGTTTTGAGAATGAGCAGTGGCTAATAGCAACTGCCGTGTTGCTAATCAAAACCTCTATAGCATAGGGCTGCCATACGAACTGAGTGTTGAAAATAACGATATTTGTATACCCTTTTCTATAGGGTATTATGGGTTCGATGCAGCTGAAGTTTATTAATTGTTTATTTTTTATTTTTTTATTAATAATTCGAGAATAGGCTGTTGTCTTTAAGCTCTCTGAGACCCAGTAAATTGCAAGCAAGAGTTTTTGTTAAAAGGAAAAGGCGCGGAGCTCTCTTAAAACTTGTGTAAACATTCAAGCAGCAGTCTTGGCAATAACCTCGCAGTAGGGGAGAGTGTTGTCAGAAATATGCGACTCTACTTCTGCTGGGTGCCAGGTCACAAAGGCATCGATAGCAAAGAAAACACGTGACCGACCCATGCATTGTCTGTATGCCGATTGGGTTAAGAGTATTACAATGAAAATCCAAAGATGATGGAGCGATCTACCTGAGTGTGGTGATCAAAAACACGCAAATTCTTGCCCATAGAAAGCTCTTCATAGAAGAGACTGCAAGAGCATTATTGGAATTCTAACTGGTCGCAATGTGGTGGTGGCAGACGCCTGCAGAATATATGCTGGCCGAAGCCCTGAAGGAGAAATTATTGGCAAAGAGCCTCAGCCCAAACTGCTGATAGAACATATTTCCAAGCCTGCGATGCGGTCATGGGCAAAAAAAGGAAGCAGCTCAAAGAAAGCCGGTATACTGGTCGAACAAAGAAAGCAACTGCCACAAAGCGAGGCGCCGATTTCAGCGGCGATTGTTTGGGATTAAGGAAATTTTTGCAGAATCAGTGACCTCAGAAAAGTAACAAAGGCGAGCAAAACTACTTCTTTCAAAATGCTATGAGATAAAGTGGAAGAAATCTGGAGAAGCGTACAAAATTGTAATGGAAAAGATAAGGGGGCAAGAGAACCGGCCTGTCTTTCGTTGCTGCAAGCAGTGAAGCTAGAATCACGAATAGCGTGCTAATGACGAGAGCCAATAGGCTACACTAAACCATTATATTATGTGTTCTCTTGTGACCTAGCTGATATATAGTACGTTCAGGATTTGAGGAGTAAGCCTACAGTTACCTGCAAAAATGCATGAAAAACTTTAGAATCTTAGCTCCCACGTCTAAAAGAGTTTCTAATTAAAGCTGCCGTCATATTCTTTTTCACCAACTTTACTACCAATTCCGTTTATGCCAGCTAGGAGCCTTGTTTTCCTTCTTTAGTTTGCAACTAATATTTTAAATTCATCAGAAATAATTTTTTATTTTGAAATGTTCATTCTGTCGGCCAACTACTGCATTTCTGATGCAAATAGTTTTTTTTGGTTTTTCTTTAAGATGTAAAAATATAATAAAGTGTTTTACTTTCCGGAAAATATTGATCAAAACTTCTAAATGAACTGTTTTTGAGTTGACAGCTATTTAATTTTTCCTCACTTTTCGCTCTGTTTTCAATAATGCTTATGCTTATTTAACGATTTGCATTGAATTTAATACCAGCGATTGATATATGTACAAACAAATAGAAACACATACATGCCAATCAAATATGAGTGTGTGCTTACAGTGCCACGCTCACATTGCCATGATAATAAATCAATATTTTAGTAACTATATTAATCTATGTGTGTGTGTGTGTGTGCTGACGGATTTTTGTTGACAGCGGATGGTGTAAGGGAAGATTGTCAACATGCAGCGACGTGATTCAGAGCCGCAGACAGCAGCGACCGTGGAAAATAAATGACTTTTTAATTGAATTAGACACATACAGCACAGACACGGATATGTGTACGTGTATGTGAGTGTGTGCTGCTGCTTGCCCTTGTACGTATGCACATATTTATGTACACATTTACTTTTATTTCATAACCTATGTGCATTCGAAGCGTACAGTCTGCTTATATAATGTGTCAGGAGTGCATGTGGGTCACATGACTGTGGTAAACTGTAGTTGACAGCCATCAACCGTCATCATTTAATCAAATCTTCGGCAGTATTGGCGTGTGTGTGCGCATGTCAGCCGTCACATTAACATGTCACAAACTTTTAATTGAACAATTAGATAGTGATACACATTTACAATAAATCTTTTTCATGGTTTTTACGCGCGCCTCTGTTTGGTGTCACATTTTAAATAATTAATATCACATAACAATTTTCGCTGTAATGAAAACTGCTCAAATGCATTTTAACAGGAAATTTATTTCCATTGAATTTTATATATAACGGCTTTTGCTTGAATTACACGCTGAATACCATTGATGTATGTGATGACAGGGCGTATACGCAATGTCACCTGATTTGCTTTGCTGCACTCAGTATGACTAAAGCAATAGCAAAAAAAATTGATAATCTGTACTGAAAGTAATTGCCACCTATTTGTTTTGTAATTACATGTTCATTGTTGTTGTGCAGTTCAAATTTGTTAATTTGTTGTTTGCAAAATTGTTGCGTTGAAAGCTTTCCACTTGAAAGTGAAGCGAAACAAATGCATTCGTTAATTCATATATTCGTTACAATCAAATAATTTTCAAAAATTTTGGGTAAAAACAAGAAAAACTACAACTGCGCCGAAGCTTTAAAGCCTTCACTTGTTTTTTCTCAAAAACCCTTTTTTGATGCGGTAGCCAAAATATCTCAAGTTCTAATCAGTCGATTTATTTGAAATTAGCATGAATATTCTTTGAATATATCTCTATCACTAGAAGCAAGAAAAAATAATTATTTGAAATTTACAATATTAAAAAAAAAAAAAAACAAGTAAGGAAGACTAAGTTCGGGTGTCACCGAACATTTTATACTCTCGCATGATAAAGTGCAAATCGAGATTTCAGGCGTGGTTGTAAACCGATTTCACCCATATTTGGTACATGTCATCAGGGTGTTAAGGAAATATTATATACCGAATTTCATTGAAATCGGTTGAGTACTTCCTGAGATATGGGTTTTGGTCCCTTATACACATCTAGATGTGTATAAGAGACAGGGACCGATTTTGCCCATCTTCGAACTTAACCTTTCTATGGAGCCAAGAAATACGTGTACCAAGTTTCATCATGATATCTCAATTTTTACTCAAGTTACAGATTGCACGGACGGACGGACAGACGGACAGACAGACATCCGGATTTCAACTCTACTCCTCACCCTGATCACTTTGGTATATATAACCCTATATCTGACTCTTTTAGTTTTAGGACTTACAAACAACCGTTATGTGAACAAAACTATAATACTCTCTTTAGCAACTTTGTTGCGAGAGTATAAAAATCGACAAAATTGAAAAATTAAGCCTCAATTTTATGAATTTTTTTTTTGTTTAGTTTTGCTGTTTCATGACATAGCGACATTCGTACTGGTTAAGAATCTGTCATTGTTTTATTATCCAGATGACGACAAGGGAAGAAATCATGGCGATGAGAGCACGGCCTCTTTTTTCCCCCTTTTCTTCAAGGACGCATAACTCGATGAAAAAATATTTTGTTTTATTTTTTCTTTTTGAAATTTATTCTTCTAAGTTTAATAAACAAATGATGAAAAAACGGATGGTAAAAATAACTAGTGCTTCTTTTTTATTAATTGTTGAAAACAGGTCGAAATTCGAGCCTCCAGATTAGAATGCCCCCTTAAATAGGTTCAGATTTATGCCATAGTGACCTGATCTGAAAATTTTCATCGGAGATTGTAGCGCTTTCTTCAAAAACAATATACACATAATTTTGTGAAGGAATCTAATCGAATAAAAAAGTTTTCAATACAAAGACTTGACTCGATACTATAGCTGAGCTAAATACTATAGTGCTCAACAAAAAAAAAAAAAAAAAAAAAAAACTGTTTGTTATGGATATTTGGCACAGTAAATAATTTCGCCGATATCGATGTTTCCAACAAATGCATAGCAGCATAGACTTGGATAGGTTCAATCGATATATGCTGCAAGGTGTGCGATAGTCAGCTGCCAAGGCTATGGTGGCTGTTTTTTGGAATGCGCAAGGAATAAGTTTTATTGACTGCCTTAAAAAAGAAGGATAATCAAGAGCGTCATTGGACCGTTTAATGGACAAAAACTCTCAAAGTCGGCCGCATATGAATGAAAAGAAAGTGATGTTCCACCAAGTCAATGCACCGTGTCATAA